TTAGCTGTGAAAATTCAAGTGGGGACCTTTGCTCTCATCCAGTGCAATTACACACCAGTTAACAGAGTGGCTGGCATCTAGTGCAGTTAAAGACTGTCAGTTGGATTTTAGTTTTAACAACAGTGAACGTGCATGCATTATTTAATCAGGCACGCTACTAGAGCTCAGGTTTCTGACTGCTTTCCTTGATTTAGTGTTTTGTGAAGATGTGCGTCAGGCAAAGTCATTTTTATTGAAGTTTATTTTGATGAGCATGTTTTTTTGGTGGATCTGTTTCCATGACTACAGAGCTCTCTGATAATTGTAGGCAATACTGTTTTGTAGGTCGGTACATCATTATTTATTATAATACAGCAATACTGACTGTATATTATAACAGTAGTCATGGTAAGATATTTTATTTTATTTGGTTTCTGTCTAACATATGCATGACTCAGAGCTAACGTAACCGTGGTCACATGTCTCTGTGTCAGGGATTTTCAGCATGTTCCTGCAACATTTCCTGCACAAGGAGTAACACATTTATAGTTAATCATTGGCTTCAGTGCATTCTTCACTGTCCTGATTTAGCAAGAACAATGTGTCAGAAACATACATAACAATCACGCAAAGAGTTTAAAAATTCCAGTATTTCTTCTTTCTTTATGTTCATGAAGCAGCTGCCACTTGCCCCTCTAAAACGAACAGCGAACACACTTAGAGGTCATTAGGCACATCTACCTTCTTTCGGAGATCTGAGCTTAGCTTTCTGTGGAACTTGAATTATTAGAGGCGTGAACTCAGCGAGGTTTTGGGAATATCCCACAGGAGTCTTGCTCCGTATGAATCATTAATTTCATGCAGATTTTGGGACAGCACATGCTATCCCCCCTCAGCCCACACATGCTCTTTAGGGACTTTGCATGCTCTCTGAGTAAACTGAAGACACTGTCAGATTCCTGGAACTGTTCCTGCATGTTTCATAACATCTCCTTCTGGTATATACAAGAGGTAGACTGATACTATGAAAGGATGTTACTAGTCAGTGTTAATGTTTAGGACTGAGGATCATAATGTGAATGCACTTCACACCTTTATTATTACCCCCTTCCCTGAGTGGTGTATGTTTCTGTTTGTGATAGTGGCGAGATATTTCGACACATAGACCTACACTTTTCCTTCTAGTCTTTCTGATTAAGTAATTTCAATACGCCTGCTGCTGTGTTTTACCCGTAGACTGTATAAAAGGTTTTACCATGTAGAATTTTCCTCTAGTGCCTGCAGCATGTCGACATTTAAATTTTTCCAATACTTCAGTTTATGACCAAATACCTATAAAACTAATGACCTCCCCATCAGCCTCCGCTGTACTTTGTGTTAATTAGCAAATGTTGGCATGCTAAACTAAGATTGTCAACAAGACAAACATTTCCTGGTAAATATCAGTATGTTAGCATTGTCATTGTGCACATATTACCCTAACGTTAGCATTTAACACCAAAAAATAAGCAGTTTTGCAGGGATTCTTGTTCAGTTGTAGTCACCTTCAAATGATGTCCTCAGAAACATCAGGGTCACTGTAAATGTTTTGCAGGGCCCATAACAAAAACACTTTGGAAAATAACACTCCTCAGACTGCAGAAGAAAAAACCCCTGTAGTGTCAAAAGTGATATAGATTACATAAAATTCACTTTTCTACAAGCCAAGTGAGGTTTAGACCTTTTTCCACAACATCTCGACATCTTACGATAGGAAAAGCACGTGTGTAAATAATCAAATTAATGATGGCTGGATTCATTTAGCAGGTTCATGGTCCTGGTATTGTGCATGCTGACTCATTGTCACACGGTCAGGACTTATTGGAGCATTTGAATAGAACAGAGCCAACGCTAATGTTATTAGTTAATACCTGTGCTTTTCCTCCAACATCTGCTGTGAAATGGTTTTGGCAAAGATGTTGTATATAACATGGTAATAAACCACTGTTGCTTGAGATCATTATCAGGGAGGTCATGTTTAAACCCTACATGTATACAATGGAAACAGACATGACATAACTACACAATGACACAACTAAAATGTCTTTTAACGTTATTCAGCCTTGCTATTATCAACCTTGTCCCTCCTCTTGGTCAGCTGGTTTGAAAGCAAAGACAACACTCACACTCTGTTTCTTGATCAGTGTTTACATTTGAGTCTGTGTGTGTGTGTCTGGGTTTGAGCTGGACAAATCCTACAACTGTGGACTAGTACAATGGCTGGAAGTTACAGTGCCTCCAGCATTTATTACGCAACTCTGTCTCAGCAGGTTTCTCACATTATTTGTCTGGTAAAAAAAAATTATTACATTATGTTTCTTCTTATCATTCAGCAGGCACAGAAAGAGTGAACAAAACCGTTTGCAGCTTGCATAAAACATGCATTTAAAAAGTACTGTTACAGCATCTTTTGCAGGTGTAGTGTTAAAGTAATTAAGTCATCACAATATTTGTTTATGTTTTTTTTTTTCCAGGGTTTGGATGATGTGACAGGGGAGCCTCTGGTCCAGAGGGATGATGACACACCAGAGACGGTCACACGGAGACTGAAGTCATACGAAACCCAGACAGAGCCTGTTTTAGAGTACTACAGGTAGAATAGTACCAATAAATCAAAATATACTTCCATCTACTTATTACAGTAACCTATTTTGTATCCCTGCACAGAGAACTTAAAGAGGAATAATGGGCAGATGTTTGAATGCATTACAGTGTCTCAGATCTTACTGAATTATACTCCACATAAATGTCTTTAAGGAGCAGTGTGTGTGATTTAGTGACATCTAGCAGTGAAGTTTCAGATAGCTACCTGAACACGGCTCGCGTCTGTGTTTGACTACCTGCGAATGAAAAAGAGCTGTAAAGCATGTAGGAGAAAACCTGCAATGTCTGTAGATAAAAACTCATTCAAAGGTAACGAAAACGCAACAATTCGTATATTCAGATGATTATACAACAATGAAAACATACCTAATAACATTATATTCGATTTCTGCCAGTGGAGTCTCCTAAATGTTACTCCAAACACCATTTTTCTCCTTATTACAGGAGTTAAATGAATACATGCATATTTAAAAAAAATCTCTCTTAAGGTTTACCAGAATCAATAAACCTCTCACAAGAAACACAAAAGTACAAATACTACACGAGAGGCTGTGGACCCAATTTGAAAGTACATGCATCATAATTGCTATTTCTGGACTAATTAGGCAGGAAAACATATTACTCTGTGTTCCCTCAAACCACAGGGATGTGCTTAGCTAGTGTCCTACTTATTTCTACCACAATTTACGAGAGGCTGGTCATCATTTGAAGGATGAAATTACAGACTGGGCATAGAAGAGGATAGAGTGTGTTCACTTTAAAGGATGTTTAACATGTTTTATTTGCTGCACTGAACATTTTAAGGTATTACTCAAACAGATTTCTGTGTTTCTTTGTCCTTCCAGGAGTAAAGGTGTGCTACAGACCTTCTCTGGGACAGAAACCAACAAGATTTGGCCGCACGTTGAGGCTTTCCTCCACAGAAAACTCCCCTCCGTCAACCAGACAGTTGCATAGAAAGCCTCAACAGAAAGGCACGAGAAGGTTTCAAGTTTACCAGCAGAAACAACTTTGTACATATTGTCAAATGAGGTGCCACTTAGAGGAGAGCCATCTGTGTAATAATATATTCTGGATGTTCAAAATGAGGAACAAGCTCATAGTTTATGTCAAGAAGCAATAGTAAGATACAGATGTTGTTGGGGAAAACTCCACTTTTGAAATACTTATTGCACTACTGTTGTTCTGTTTCCACAATGTCGCTGCAATTAGTTTGGGAAACTCTCAGAATGTGAGTGTAAAATTTAAAAAGATTGTCTCTTCATTCCATAATGTGCCTTTTATAAAACCAGGAGGTGTCACTGAATCTAATATCAAGGTCTTTAACAGTAGAATATAAATGATAGGAATAGTTGGCATGTCCTTTCTGGTGAAATCAACCAACTTTAGAGTTATGTATACATTTTTAACTTATAGGTTTTGTTGTATTTGCAATCATGACTTGTTGTCTTAGTTGATGGCCGCAACACTGAAAATAATGGACACACATAAGATATCTTGAGCTAAAGAGAGAGAGACTTTCCAGCTTTTTTAAGTAAGAAATTGTTTTTAAAAAAGCCCCAGAACGGGACTGTTACTTATGCAGTGGGTAACTGCCCTAAAAGGGAAATGTGCCATGGTCTACAAGCTGTGCCTTTTGCTGCTTTTGAAAATGTAACAGGTAGCTCCATGAATGTAGTTTGTAAATACTTTTTATGCATATGGGCCACAAAGTGAATAATGTAGAAACTGACCACACTTATTATACTGAATATTTTTAACTTTTAATGAAGCCATCAGTGAGTAACAGCTTATTTCAACCACCTCAAGTCTTAATAGTGTTGCCTTTTGAAATACACAGTTCCCATTTTAACCAGGCATTCCTTGCTGTGACCAATTCTATAAATGTATACCAATATCTGCCATTTTGACTTAACAACTAAAAACCATATTGATGAGTGTATGAACTTAAAACATTTAAAGCACATCATCTTATTAGAAAATGTCATGACATTCAAGGTTGATCTGCAGTTCTGTGTTTTGCACTTTGTCTTAAGAATGTTTCACCGTGTCAAAAGCATTTCGAAAACTACACCAATTCTAACTTGCCTTGCAATGTACTGTTTCCTGAATTGTACTGTGTATTTCTAAAGACTTGAATATTTAAAAGCACACCTCCTCTTCAACGACAACTTACGACTGTGTCATGAGTATTTATTACGAATCACAATAAACTTCTGATAAGATACTACTGTTACATATTGTAATATATTACTATAACCAGAGTAACAACTGGATAGCATCCCAGTCATCGGTTTTGACAGTTAACACACCCATAAAACAGATTCTTCCTTGTGCTCCTAAGTTACAGTAACAAAAAATAAAGTATCAAAATCAAATGCAGCAGAGATATTACCTTTATTTATTCCCACAATTCCCCCTTAATACAACTCAACTGCCAAATATTGGGTTGGAGATTAGGGTTTATGTAGCCTCAAACAGAGATTAGGAGCAGGCTACAGAGTAAAGTCAACTTAATTTATAAAACCACTGTTTTTTAATGTTTTAAGAAGCTCCCTCTGGAGCCACAAAAGGCTTTATGGAACTTATCAAAAAGGTAAGTTACTCCCTGTGACCAGGTAACAGATGCTGATGTGTAAAATCATTAGTTAGTTATCCTGGGGATTTAATGATGTCCCAGGCTCATCAGTTTTAAATGACAAGAGGAAACAACTTTATAATTTGCAGGTCTATAAATAACTGTAGCAGTTGACAGCAAGACACAAACATTTAGCACTGGTTTTATATGTATATAGAGTTTCTAACAGTAGCAAGAGAAACCAAATCTTACACTAACTTACTGTGAATGACAAATGTAACTTGTGTAATTCAACAAACTCACAGATTAGTGACAAATTCTCTCCTTTTCACTATGTTTAATAGAGTAATAATCTTTAGCTAATTTACGAAGTTGAGACACTATGGACACTGGCCACAGGTACTGTACAACAGCTTAAGCCATATAATTATTTTGCATAGTTAATTAGTCACTGTGGACAGAAAAAAGAGAAACACATATAAGACCACTAAAGCACATTGTTTTAGCTTCACTGCTTAAAATACCTCTATGTATGTTTACAGTCTACGTTACACGTCATATGTGAACTGCCCCACAACAGCACTGTGTGTAAAGTACATGTAAATCTGTGAACTGATGAATAGTGAGAGGACACCAAGTGCACCGCAGAATCAACACTGCATCACAGCTTTAAGTCATAAACACATGTATTGTACTTTAATGCATCGTATGGTATCTTTAATTCCAGTCTGCAGTAAATGTCTTACTGATCACGTCGCTTAGCAGATTCTCATACTGATTTTGGCGGTCTTGTTAAATAATGAATATCACTCATCAAGGGGACAGATAATTGGAAGCCTAATAAATCTGGCACAACCCTCAAACACTAAAAAGTGACAAAAGAAAAGTCAGCAAACAACAAAATATAAAAGTATGAAGCAAAATGTCACACAATTCAAAACACGAGCTCAGCTAAAGCCTGCTTGTGAAATAAACAAATCTTGATGACTGGGAAGAATAATAAAGTCAAGTGCTTCAATCACTCTACCTCTGCCTCTTTTTTTAAACCATTTCTGTTTTGAAAAGAGAAATATAAAGTGCAGGACACATTCAGATAAAGAAAGTTCCATTCTGCATACAAATACAGTAAATGTCTTTATGGATAGCGCAGCCCTTTGTTCCTCCCCCATCCCCTCCACAGCGGTGCTTTTAGCCCGTACTCAGCTGTGGATTCTCGACACACCACCGACACCAGTCTGCACAGAGCACTTATATATGTATAAGGAAACTGGAGGTTGTGACTCGGCTTCAGATGCTGGGTACAGATGGCCATGCAGGCCTAGTAAACTTTTTATGTACTGAAAGATCTGAATAAGCTGTGTGCCAGTTACATTTTGAGGCTTTGATTAAGTGAATGCCTGATAAAATAAATTCATAGGGAATAAAAAACAATTAAACCCTCATCACACCTTACATTACCATGCATCTTACACCCAGATAATAACCTGGATGCAGAGAATTCACATTTTCACTAGACACCAAGATTGTCTCAAATATCCTCATGAGATTGAGCTGACTTTGACCCTCTAACACGCATGTTTGCATTGAAAGCTGAGTGCTATGTCATGAATAAATACTGGGATATTATATTGTCGCATACTGAAAAGCATGCACTGTTGTCTAAAGCTCATTATTCAGCTTTGCCTCATGTCAAGCTGCTTAAATAAATAAGCATCGGCCTATTGTTCTCAAAGGCTGAATAACTTCTGTCACAGAGGACAATATGAGACAATGCAGCCAAACATCATCTTTTATTGCTGTATGTGGACTATGTGGAATTTCATTAGATTTTCTACTGTTGTTGAATGTAATGACATGCTGTAGGCACTGTGTATACTGTGGGAATCTATTTGTTTGTCTGCAGAGTTAAAATCTGAATGTCAAAGACGCATGTTAATGGCAGATGTGAAGGGGGTAGTCTGATACTTTGCTCCTCTAAGCTTCACCAGACAACATTAGAAATACCTTTTAGAAAACCTAAAACCACTCTTCTCCTGCCTTTGAAGAAATGCGTAAATGACATCAAATGTCAGTCTTCAAAAGACGCAAAATATGTAAGCTCCCATTCTGCATTTGTAAGAGCAGTGTTGTTAGATAAACAATCGTTTTTATTAACTTAAGAACCTTCCGTTATACCTCGAGCTGTTTGAAAGTCCTTACTTGATGGCCCTTCAGGCACAACAAGGAACGGCCACAATCAGGTAAAGACAGAATCTGACAAACATGACAAAAAGCCAAGTGAAGGTCTAAACATTTGCGCCAAAAGCTACCATCATGAAACATCTGTTTTATATGTTCATTGCAGAAACTGTGAGTCAGCACAGATACTGCATTATTCATCCTCTCCTGACAAAGAACCTCCCAGTGTGACCCTAGACCTTTTAATACAAACGTTTTACTCAGTAGACTAATTTCATGCTCTCTGTATTTGTTACAGATTCCGACATTACGCCACAGTCTCGCCTTCAGGTGAGCTGTATTCCAAATATGCTCAGAAGTGCCTTATCATATGCATACTTTTACCCTCATGATTGAAATCAAATTACTCAACAAATCACCCCTGCTGAGCAGCTACCTTCTCTCTATTTTAGAAACATGATCAGGTAGTTCTAAATTTTACTTCAAGACACTTTGCCATAATAAATGTCAAGCACAGTAAAGCAAACTATCGACAATACTGTTTATACAAAATGTTCATTGATCTGTCAGTCATGCTTCTCTCATACTTGACATGATTCATTGTAAGCAGATATAACAATAAGCCTCAGATGAGTCCTACTTCAGGCATTGGATTTGGTAACTGACTGTTTCCTATAGACTTTATTAGTGTAGTATTCTTTGTGTTGTCTGGATTTTACTTCAGTTTTGTTTTGCTTTCACTTAAAGAGGTTTCTCTATTTCAGGAGAACCAGTTTGAAGGATATAAGAACTCCACCTGTATCTTATGGCACAACACATGCACTGAGCTGGAGAGAGACACTGCAGAAAGGCCACAGGCCAACCTGTTTGTCATGAGCAAAAACATTATGTTCCTGCAGGTTAGCCACCAACAGTTGCAGCGTAAAAGATAGATCATGTCTCCGTTTCTTCCTGCTCTGCACTGGGGGTTTTCGGCCTGATCCGCTGCGTAAAGGGGGCTTAAAACTCAGGTAGCTCCTAAATGGGGAGACAATGGAGATGGAAGAAAAGCAGGGGGTCGATCCTACAACCCCTAGGATGTCTCCATCATGCGCATATCGTCAGTTTCTGTTGTGTCCTCTTTTGTCCACCTCCCTGTGCTTGTCCACAGCCCCGCCTCTACACAGCGCTTCATAGGATACTCTGCCACCTAGTGGAGGGAGAGAAAGACAGTCGCGTCAAATCAACAACCATTCACAGGTGAGGATTGTCAGGCACAAATCAAAATCAAAAATAGGTTTACATGGAACTGGAGAGAGACTCTGGGGGATTAAGCTACTGTTGCCTGGTTAGAGGATTATAATGGTTACGTAACTGCACTTTGGCTCTTAAACATTTAATGCACCGATCTGAGCTGAAGCTAGCATTTAGATTGTGAATCCACAAACGCTCCTCTAATCACTCCTCAGAGACTGACTGTGAGTTCAAAGTGAGGGGAGATGCTACGAGATGAAAACCGCACAAATCCAAAAGCAGGGACCTGATGAGCCAAGCTTCAGTTTCAACAGGCTTGATCACATTCCTGGGTAGCCATCTTTCCTCTATGGGGAGTTCTTTTCCTTCTCTCTGGGTTGATGTTTGGCAGCTAGTCAAGCTGTGGGGCCAGCCGGGGGGAGGAGGCCTCATTCTCTCTCCCTTACAAAAGGCTTTCATACTACAAACATTAAGTTTACTAGAAAATCCATTTGGCACTTTTACACTCTACTTCATCTGAATTATTTTACACTTCAATCATCAAATAAAAATCTCTTTGTCTGTTATTAGTTAAGAATGCCATAAATAATAAAGGCCTCCAGAGAGAGACCATTTGTTACATGCAACTCCTCCCCTCATGTCTCTATGAAACATATCACTCCACTGCTACTCTATCACACTAACCGCGAGTCACGGACGCACATTTGACTGAGTCAGGTAAAACTAAAAGTAGGGATCAAGTTTCTACGGTGTGGCAGATGTTGGGGTTTCGAATTACGGAGACAAGAAAAAGGCTGCAGATAACATGATGGTTCAACAGGCCATGCTTTGTAGGTAAAATCAACTTTTGACAGTGGTCGTGGTCAAAGTGCTAACTTGTTCAGTGTTTTTACTCCATGTTTTCCTAATTCCCATGAAACCTTCCTTGGTGCATTGCAGTGCTCTCACCTCTTATGAAAAATTGTGGATAAACACACATGAAACTGAGCATGAGCATTTTGCAACAATAACACCTAATCCCACTTCAACATGAGTGCAGATGCTTTAAAATCCAGCACCCAAGTTAAAGATGAACCTTAAGAGTTGTATACATCAGAGGACTAATAGCTCAATGGTGCCATCTTACAGCTGTGTGCAGTAACTGCAACAGTCTATGAGTCTCAGTAGCACTGGGAAAAAAGGAAACCGCACTTACTGAAGGTAAAGAGTCTACGGCTTCTTTGGGTTCGAGTCTGCAGTTTGTGCCAGTATTCTGTTGTTCAATGGTGTTGGGTGTACCACCTCTACACTTGATGGCATATTCTTTCACTCTGCGTTTGAAGGTCTCAAGCTCTGTGTGGAAGACATCTAAGTAGACGTCCTTTCCGTCCTACAGAGCAATAATGGAAACAATATTTGGAAAACGTGGCACAACTTGGCTTAATAGAAAAAGCATCCACCTGAAAAAAAATTTCAACCTGGCATAGAGCACTGTACTATCAATAAAAACAAAAAATCCAAGTATAAAAACATATTTCTAAAATAATGTGCCTTTGTTACACTGTATTATACATACATTGTAGGACAGAGCTGTTGACCATCATACCGTTGTACAGCATTAATCAGATGTCTGTGTCTTACTTTGGCTTTGTGGAAGAACTGTCTGAAGCAGCCTCGGGGATCCTGCTGAGAGTTCGAGGCCATCTCCAGGATAAACTGCATCACTACAGCTTGGTGTGCCACCTGCTCCATCAGTGCTTCTTTCTGCAGGACACAAAACAAAAAAACTAATTTTTGACCACTCTGTGTGTCTGGGCATCTGTTTAACTTCTTGAACTGTGCTAAACTGTGAATAACTTGTGCTATGTAATTACTGAATTCTTACACTTAGCATCTAAGCAGTATGTATGTTGTGTATGGTGTGGTTTACAGGTACTTAGGGGTGTAAATTCCCTGGAGCACTTCACTAAAAATGTCCGCTTTCTACAGAGAGGTTAGCCCTGACAAAACGTGAACATGAACAAAATTAGGACCCACATATGGGACTAATAAAGCAGGTGAGGGCATTTCTTTATTTAGAAGTGTGGTACTCTCAGCTGGCATCAAGGGAAAGAGAAACTGCTACACATATCTGAAACCTGAATACCTAATACATATTTCAATAACCAAAAAAAGCACTCAAAGTGATTGCTTAAATCACTGTGTGTGCAAGCACATCAGACACTTTTTAATCTTTTCATCATTATCATAATGCTTGCAAACACATTCAGTATAGCCTCCGAACATACATACATACATACATCCTGATGCACTGGCCTTTTTCACTGAAGACATTTTAACATGTTACTGCAAAACAACAACAACAACAACAACAACAACAACAGTTCAATTAATGAAGGCTGGGTTCCATTTAGCCTTTTCAGTTTCAGGGTCCTGGTATTGTGCATGCTGGCTCACTGTCATGACTTACTTGGACACTTCAATAGAACAGTGCAATTATTAATATTAACTTCAATTTCAGTCTGTCTGCAGATATGCACATCATCAGGCATGTGGTTCCATGTTTACACTGCTTTTCTAGTTTGACTGGTTAGTAGGATAAATTCCTTGTTTGGTTTGGTCTCATTATGGTTTTGTTGTTGAAAATAACAAGATAAAATAACACCAGCTTTATCCTTCAATACATTACCCCTTCTTGCTGTAGTCTCATGCACCACAGAATTAAATAGTTGGACGTTTCCTCACAGATGAGCTGAGGCATGTCTGCAAGGAATCGCTGACTGTCATCCCATCTCCGCAGCATACCTGGCGAATGGATCAAAAGCATATTAGTTATGTGATGTGTGTATGTGAAACTATTGCCAAAGAGAACCCAGTTACTTGCTACTGTTTTCTGAGAATGTTAATCTAGTTGACTGGCAGTGCCTGCCCTCCCATTTTAAAATTTTAAACTATCCAGCACCCCTCCTCCCACACTAAGAAATGTGTGACCTATATTTTACATTTGTGCAAATTATTTTCTAAAGCATCCCGTATTTTATGACTGATTAACTTCCTGCAAGTGCAGACACATCATGCTTTTAAGGAATGGCAATACCCCTGAGGACATTAAACTGTTTATGAGCAAGGCAATGCATCATAATGAATCTATAGTTTGGTAAAAGTTTGAATAAAAAGACAGTAACAGTGTCTTGCTGGCAGGTGTTCTCGCCAATAATTTAAGTAGGTGACTTGACTTCTTCTACCACATGTATTGAGACACATGAAATCTATGGACATGCAGACTAAATATCTATTAGATCTATTCCAGGGAAACTGGAGAAGAAATCCTGCCTCAAGCTGCAACACTTTTCAAAGTACTGTTGAAATAGGTTTTATGTAAGGATAAACAAATCATTTATCATTAATGTTGTGTAAGAGTGTGAGACTATTCTTATTAGAAACTTCAGATTTGGCATCTCACTTACCAAAATGTCTGAGCTCTTGCTCATACTTTTGGAGAAACGTCTTGCACTTATCCTGATCCATTTCTACAGGCTGATTTTGGACATTGATGATACTCTGGAGGGGAGAGAAGACATCACCGAACTGTTGACATGGTCAATAGGTAATAACAGTCAAATAAGTATAAGAAAATGTTAACATACATATACATAATGTAACAGGGTTCCACTTTCCTGTCCCAATTTTGTTTGCTTTCAGTTTTCCGTCTCAGCTGTATGAGTCACAATAGCTCACCTAAACTTGGAAAAAATCCCAACTGTTTGCACGCTTACCTTATCAAAAACATCCCAACTTCCGACAGCTCCGAGTACAGAACTGCGGCTGGGCTCCTGGACTCCAAGCATGCTCTCCTTGCGGCGCCACTCCTCCTCATTGTGTGTGAGTTCGGTAGGGCAGGCCTGAGTCCGAGCACGTTCCTGCTCCAGGGACTCTGAGCTGTGGACGCCTAGAGAACACATCTGATCCTGGGCCTCAGCCAGTTTCCAGCTGGAGACGATAGAGGCCTTCACACAGCGCTGCTGGCTCTGGCACAACGATGCCATGGCACAATTGCAAATGTGCGATGAGGGTGACTGTTTAATGGGAAAATAATAGATTAGGACATGAGAGAAAAGGAAAACACTGTCAGTGATTCAACAGTAAATCCTCATTTATTACACAGTAGAGTGTTGTTGTGGTTTGTAGGGCAGGAAACAAATATTTCTTGTCCAAAGAACCCAATTTTTTTCACATGCAAGAATCCTGTGGTAATTTGCCCTTCTGTCAGTGTCAAGTTTAGATTGAACATACAAACGTGCCCACAATGGGAGGTCACATTTACAACATCATCCTGAGGAGAGAGGATTGGCTCTACAGGAGGTGAACAGCTGACACGTAGAACTGCCTGCTCACTCTGAATCACAAACTAAATGTAGGCCATTGGCTTTTAAGCTTTCATGACCACAGCCATGCCATGTTTGGTACAGGGTGGGGCGAGGTGGCTAAAAATAAATGAATGCTTGTTTCCATCTTATCCATGCCTACCCAAACAACCAAATGCCCTTTCTAGTCCACGACAGACATGGCACACAGCTGCCAGTGTGTGAGAATAACGAGGACCTGAGGGAATGGGAGAGTGAGCTACTGCTTCATGTCTTGTTGTGGCCTCTGATCTCACCATGCCACATATAGATAGTCTCTTTCTGACAGGATGAAGACACTGCGAGTGATCGGTTTACCTGATAACCACACGTCGAAGTGTAAAATAGGTAGCTAGATTGCGCAACTCTGGGTTTGATCAGGTTAGCATTCCCTCTAGCAGTGCAGCCTGGGTACTGTTTTGCACCATGACAGTTCTTGACTAACATACGATGGCAGCTGCTCCCTACAAGCGAACTGATATGACAGTGACACGATGGTGAGGGCAGAAACTGGGCTATGTAATAAAAACACTATTGGGAAAATAGCGTGAACTTCTTGCCATGTTCCCACAATAGGCTTAGCTAGCTAGCACGCTTTGAACACAATTCCGTTATCTCTGTAAAGTGAGTAACTTAACAACCTAGCATGAGCTTATTACCTGCTGGTGAGGATGAATACCACTGAAGCCCCTGGTTGTGGAAGCTGGGTCGCTGCTAGACTCTTCATTGGGGTAAACTGAAGCTCCGTTGCCCAGCCACTCCATCGCTGCTAAGCAACTAGCAGGCTAGCTCTGCTGTGAGATCCGCTAGCGTTAGCTAATGCTAGCTGTGCTGTAAGAAACAGTGACAGTGTTGCTCTCTGCAGTCTGCCAGAGTTGTGTTTCATCTAAACGCCGATCCACAAAGACAACAGGACCGACAGAGGAACAGGATGCACCGCGACGAGGAGTTCCGCTCCTGTAAACAACAACAGCAGCAACAACGACAGCCACAATAACAACAATCACTGCCCCACGTACCGCGGCAGCGTCATTTTAAGGGGTGACATGCGGAGCACGTGGTAAACAACACTGACCACGTGACGTCTCAAAAGTTCTGTTCTGTTCTAGTGAGTTCTCTTCTTCTGTGGTCAGTGTGATCAATGTGATCAATGTGATCAGTGTGATCAATGTGATCAATGTGATCAGTGTGGTCAATGTGATCAATGTGGTCAGTGTGATCAATGTGATCAGTGTGATCAATGTGGTCAGTGTGATCAGTGTGATCAATGTGGTCAGTGTGATCAATGTGATCAATGTGATCAATGTGGTCAGTGTGATCAGTGTGATCAGTGTGATCAGTGTGATCAGTGTGGTCAGTGTGATCAATGTGATCAATGTGATCAGTGTGATCAGTGTGGTCAGTGTGATCAATGTGATCAGTGTGGTCAGTGTGGTCAGTGTGATCAATGTGATCAGTGTGGTCAGTGTGATCAATGTGATCAGTGTGATCAATGTGATCAATGTGATCAGTGTGGTCAGTGTGATCAATGTGATCAGTGTGATCAATGTGATCAATGTGATCAGTGTGGTCAGTGTGATCAATGTGATCAATGTGATCAATGTGATCAATGTGGTCAGTGTGATCAATGTGATCAGTGTGGTCAGTGTGATCAATGTGATCAATGTGGTCAGTGTGGTCAATGTGATCAATGTGATCAGTGTGGTCAGTGTGATCAATGTGATCAATGTCTCCGTAGTTCAGTGTAAGGGCATAATATAAAAACAAATAATATAAAAAGATAAGCTGTTGGAATGTGTACTGGTTTTGGACTAGCCATTATTAAATATATAGTTTACATATATTGTCTATAGATGTGGATACAATGATTTTCGTGGACATAGTTTTCAAACATTTGAACTTTTATTATGTTAGGGACACCTATAAGTCTTTTGGAGGTATTTTAGCATGTTGTGTGAGTCTGGATATGTGACATTATATTTCAAAATGTGTCTTTAACATGTAGAAGAGTTATTGCTCTAACATGGAAACTGATGTGGTGTACATTGGTTTTGATAATTGTTTACCTACAATACGTTTCGAAGATAAATGAATGCTGTGTAGTCATTATGTAGGGCCCACTCAGATGACAGGGTATATGAATGTAGTCATTATGTAGGGCCCATTCAGATGACAGGGTATATGAATGTAGTCATTATGTAGGGCCCACTCAGATGACAGGGTATATGAATGTAGTCACCTGAACGAACCCAGATGACTAAATCTGTAGTGGTTCAGGCTATTTTCATTGTGTTTGTTAAACCACGTTGCATAAAATGTATTAATCTATTCTATAACCTATCAACATATAACAAATGAGTTGGAAAAGAAACGTTGTGTGCACTGCGCCCATTGACCAGAGGGTCGCAGTAGTGCACTTTGAACCTGCCTGACAGCCTCCACTGAAAACAACGTAGTAGACCAACATCACAGACTATGTTTAATTTGCCCCTACTTTTAGTCTTACAGGCAGCTTTAGCTACACGTGAGTTTGTCGCTCCCGATAAACTCCATCAATCAAATATTTGAGATTGTAGATATTTATGTTTGCTGTTAGGGCTATGGCACGGTTCATGGTTTACGATATGTAAGTCCTGACGAATAAACGTGGATTTGTGTACAATGTGAGAGCAAGAGCTGCCTGGGAGGCGCAACGCAGGGCCTAAAACCTTCCACGTAAAAAAAATTGCTATTGAGTAAAAAGGTCCACACAAATATCTAGCTAGGTACTATAATCTACCTAACGATAGTTAACTGGAAGCAAATAGCACATGGTAAGTCAATTCACATCGATAATGTAACGTTACATTATTATATATTTTAATATTGTGTTTGTTTGTCGACACTCAAAATACAAACTAGCACTGAGTTTTTAGCTAGCTTAAAAGGGAGTCACGAGCTAACCAGCACAGCGTCACTAGCAAAACTATAAACAGTGTTCGGCTTTTAGCTAGCTCTTACACCAGAAACACTGGATCAAGTGTGAACTTAACACACGCACGACTGTCATCAGAGGGTGTGCTGGATTTGTCTGGGTCCGACAAGCTAATGTTTGCGTACAGAAAGTGTGAAATGAAGCAATGAGGAAGTAAGATGTGTTTTATTACCACTAGGTGGGGGTAGAAGATAATAAAAACCCCTCACTGCAGGTACCGTGGCTCTCCTCTCTTTTCTTCTTCCTCCATCCCGTGGAAAAAGATGTCTGTTGCCCAGACAGAGCTGAATGTTAAAGCCCGCCTCTAGTGTCTGCAGACAGGGAGAAACAACCAGACTTCAAGCCTAAAAAAACATCCTCAGCCTGAAATCAAGTCTCATAGCCAGCTGGCATCTTGCCCTTTCTCAGGCTGCTGTTCCCACAGCAAAACTGCTTCATTTTCATATTACATTTTTCTCACATTCTTTTAGTTTGATTTTCACTTCAGTTGTTTGTTTTATTTTATTTGTTGGCACCGTGACACCATTCAGATACAGCAGAGTTGATGCCCAGAATAGCTGAGAGCAAATTTGTGAGCTTACAAGCGGTTGCTTCACTATATTACTGAAGATAAATAATAACATATTTTGCAAATAAAAGGATCTCTACCTTTTATGTTGTGACAGTATTATATTTGAGCAGTCGTGGTGGATACGTCCCATTTTATAGCGCTGTTGTTCTGTGTGCCTTCCTCCACAGAGTTATAGCAGCACACCATCCTGTGGACAGAAATGAGCCATACTACTCCAGAGGCAGTGGGTGGGTATCACAGTTTCACAATAGTTCTCTCTCAATATTTAACATAGAAACAACACACGAGGGTTCATTTTGGTGTGATGACAGGTATATAGACTGACATAGCTGAGTAGTCTCCGTAGTGAAATATAAATTACCTCTGATGTCATTAATGTCAAGTAACAGTGGTTATGAGGCACATATATATTTTTACATCAGGAGAAAAAATGAGTCAACTCTGTACTTCCTTCAACTGTATTGTGTCCTAATTTAAATAATTAATAAATGCTTTATTATGAAAATGATCTCAGGTCTTTTGATGGATGACATTTTAAATCTGAACAGTTTTCAGCACTTGCTCAGCTATTTCCCGTTGTGGTGTTGATAAATATGTTGCCACACCATAGTGACTAACTTTGACTCATCTCGGTATCTTGTATCTTTGTTCACATGTTTCTTGGCAGCATTAGTTTACGAAACACAAAGAGCTCATGGGGTGTACAATGATATCAGCAGCATCATTCCGTTTTCACTGTAGAGCCTATAGGTGTGTGTCATTCCACTTTTGGATGGAAACCAAGTTGTAGTGGGTCAGTTCTGGAGAGCTAATTAACATGCAAACACTGCTTTAAAAAGCATCAAATTCAGCAAGTGCTTGTACTCTCCTCATTCTCAAGATTCTGTAATTGCACCTGTTGAAAGGGTTTTCCAGCACCTACAACAAAATACAAAAGGAGAGAAGTACTTGTAGAAGAATGTTGTGGCATACTTCCAGTGGAGTTGAGCCACTTGCACAACCTCTGCCAAGTCACACTGAAGCTGCTCTGGTGGCTGTAGTGACACCAAATGCCCCATTTAGACACTTGATCTTTGTGTTTCCTTTATTTTGGCAGCTGCCTGGCAACAGAGAGTTAGACCTGCCTGTGGATTTAATCTCTGTCTAATTTTACTGAAATTTAAGTGTGACTTTTATTGTTTTGTAAGAGTGGGAGGTTAAGATAGTCTCCGGTTACTTTAAAGTCCACTTAGTGGAAAATGCGGTATTTTCTCACATTTCAAATGATCTTGTGTCAAAAAATAAACAAAATACAAACCACCCTCTCGGAGGTGAATGAGTGCATGTACTGTATGTGTGTCTGTGTATGTGTGTGTATGTGGTGATGGAGGTTATTATGTTGTAGTGAATGGGGAGCCTCCAGCTCTGTCATTCACCCACAAGCAGACTATAAAGAAGCTACATGCTCCACATTCCTCTCCTCTCCTCTCCTGCTCTCTCCTCTCCCCTCCTCACACAAACAGTGAGACCGAGGTGAAGTGGGTTGTGCTGTTTGTGTGAGGCTCTGTGCATGTACGCATGTTCGTCAGTGGGATACATGGGCTGGAGTGGGGTGTATAACAGGGGAGAACAGCAAAGGAAACTATTCAGATTCTTGAGATTAAAGGCCCTTTCAGTGGACCATAACAGTGTTTTTGCAGATCTTAGCCCATTTACTACATCCAGTCTACTTTGCTGTTTTCCATAGCAAACTGCAATGTTGCTGTCTCAAGCCTCTTAGTAACTGGAAATAGATTTTCATATTAAATGGCAATTATTTAAAAACACTGATTATCTAGAAGGTAGGAAATGCGTTTCCAAAAAAAAAATAATTACTTTGGAAATATAATGTAAAGCATTTGTGATTTGTACTAAATAGGCCAGAACATGCAAAAGGGCTGGCATAACACACTGAACCAAGTCACAGGCCCAGGCAGGTAAAGTTCACGTTTAAGAGGCAACATGAAAAAGACAACGTGTCAGGCCAGGAGAAGACACAGGAGAGAAAGAGGCCAACACGGAGAGAAGGAGAGGCCTTTGGTCTGCTTTCCCAGGCTATGCATCAGGAAGGTTGTATTTTTTACACCATGACCACCGCATAGCCCTTTCCTGGGGAAATCCGAGACAAAACCGAGAGAGGCTGCTGCAGGGAGGGAGAGGAGAACAGGAAAACTAGCCCTGGGAAGGAGGGAGGGATGGTGGGAGGGAGGGAGGGAGGGAGGGGGGCAGGTACGGTGGAGCACACACAGCGTGAGCGACAGAGAAAGAAGCTGGAGCTTTTAGGGAAGGCTCAGTGGAACGCACGCACATGCAGATAGACACAAAACGTGAAACTCACACGCATGCTTACATCTCCTCTTGTTTCTCGGCCCTTTTACCCACTGTGGCCTTCTAAAAAAATGTGCCCTAAGAGTCGTCTCTAGAGTATTTTGGCTGCAGATTCAGCTGGAATGCAGAGCTAATGCTGGGTTCCTCTACTATCCAACCAGCCTCAGCTGTTAATCCGATGTTATGGCTGCTCTGCTATGCCTGTTAAAGAAATAATATTTGACGTTATGGCTACTCAGCTATGCCTGTTTTAACAAACAATATTTCCAGTATATCGCATTACCTATAAGCTAAGATTTTGGTTGGACACAAAACATGGTATTTCAAGACCGCTTGGCAACAAATTTGACCTTTTGTTAACTTGACCAGTAGCTAACTACAAGGGCAAATCAGCATTGCGGTTTTTAGAATAGTTTGTATGATCTGTGCCAAATGTATATTTGCATAGCAAGGTAAAAGCCATTATATCCAGACAGAGTTAAAAGGAGAGTGTTGAGGGAGAGTTAATTTCTTGACAGGTTGATAGAGGTCAAAGGTCAGAGTGAAACCTCACCTCTTCTATGTGTATATGATCCCCCAGGTCTTGACCCTGCCGTGCTGAGAGACAAACTCTTCGAGCTATGGAACCGGAAAGATCTGCAGACGGTGAGAGTCACTTTCACAGCGTGTGTCAATTCCACACATGCAATATTGTGTGTGTGTGTGTGTGTGTTTGTGTGTCTGTCTGTGTGTCTGTCTGTGTGTCTGTCTGTGTGTGTGTGTGTGTGTGCGCGCGCGCATGTTAACAAAGGTAGGGAGATGAAGTCTTTGTGTGTCTGCAAGAAGCACATGCACAGGAAGGAACACAAGTGAGAGAGAGAGAGCTTGGATATCAGCATGTTTAAATGTCGCTCACCAGTGTGTGTGTGTGTGTGTGTGTGTGTGTGTGTGTGTGTGTGTGTGTGTGTGTGTGTGTGTGTGTGTGTGTGTGTGTTTTTTTTTTTTGTCTGTCTGTCTGTTGTGTGTGTGTGTGTGTGTGTGTGTGTGTGTGTGTGTGTTAATGAGGAAACCAGAGTGTCTGTCAGTAGGAAGGAAGGAATTTGCATTGCACTGAATGAACTTGAGATCTGTGTGAGGAGGATATTGAGTGGATGACATCTGTTTTGCAAATTAAGACAACGCAAAGCATTTTCTCACACAGATATTATTTTCTTGTGTAGGAAGTTTGTAATGCCTGAGTTTGCATTCTTTAGCTAAGACCTAAAATGGGTCAAAATTATTTATTGTTTTAGAAAAGGTTCATCATTAATACTCCCCTCTAAGGATGTCACACTGAATAAAACTTTGCACACAAATCATATACATAAATGATGGAGAACAAACACTTGTTTCTCACCCAAATGGACCAAATTTCCTTTTAAATGACCTACAAGCTGCACACGTTCTGTGTATTTGTCAATGAGTACTGTGTGACTATAATATGATTGATACCCTTTTTGAATGAATTAACCAGGAAACAAGATTAAAACTATGAAAACGTGAGCTATAATGTTTTATATATCTAACTCCACAATTATAGTTTTCATTCACACCTCTCCTTTCTCCTTTTCTCCCCCCACAGCTACATTGGGTAGCCCTCCAGGGATTTTCAAAGCTGTCTGAGCCCCTGGAAGCCTTGTTAACAATCCTAGAGAGCTGTCCAGGCAAACAGAAGGGTCGCAGCCACACCCTTGGCCACCACATCCTCATGGAATTTCAGACATGGATGAAGGAACATCCACAGGTAGACGAAATTCATCAAACAAACCTTTTTAAACTAAAGAATGCATGTTACAGTCATTTTTAGTAGTAGTTTAAAGAGCATAACTTTTTGTGTGCATATTATTATCAAAAATATCACTAACCCCTAATGAAAAACTTTACTTTTGTATTATCACTACCACCACAGCAGCAAGATTAGTTCCAATAGTTCCACAATTACTGCTTTGTGTTCCCGGCTCTTATTTTCTTCTATTTTTTTTTCTATGTTTCCAATCCTGTTTTTTGATTCCTCGTCATTTGTGTCCCTCCACCAGGTGACCCTTAGCTCACTCTCAGAGCAGCAAGCAATGGCAGTCCAACAGCAGGCTCTGAGCTTACTAACAGATACCCAGCCAAGCTTTGTAGACACTCTCATAAACATCTACCAACTCAGTTCCCTGGATCCGGCTATACTCCGACTGCAAATTGTGAGGTTGCAGGCTCTTAACTGCTACAAAGAGGTGAATGACTCATTTGATATTAACACTATTCTTTATGGAAGAAAAAAGATTCTGAAGCAAAAGATTTTCCATTTTGATTTACACTTTACACTTTTTTTTTCACAGGCAGCAGTGCTCAGCATAAAGCTGCAGTTACAGAAAGAACTGAATATGGAGGAGGTGAGAGAAAACATTTTCAGTCAACATGTCTGTAATTTTTGTGCATGTTTATTCATAAGCAAAAAAAAGGTCTCTCTTAAATCTCTAACCAACTTCCAAAATTGTCCTATTTTCTTCTGCAGATGTGTGTACCACTAATCATGCAGAATAAGTTGCCAATGGCAGAGGCTTTTGTCACAGGCCACAATCATCTCGAACAACAACTGGTCGCACTGCTAGACTCGTGGTGCCACCCCAACTTCAGTGTGGAAGAAATAAGCAAGTATGAAGCATATGTGAACATACTGGGTCATATGTGTGCAGGCATCGTTATGTTGCGGTGAGAACTGATGGTTGCGTCTGCATGTGTGTGTTTCCGCAGGCGGTTCCCTCGCCTCTCTCTGTCTAAACAGTGCATGGGCCAGATCCAGCCCAAAATGCTCACCAAGCAAGTCTTCCGGCTCATGGAGAAATTCAACATTGACCAAGGTGTGTAACCGGGCACATGTGCAGTTATTCATGTATGGGCGTGCACTTATGGCAGAAATGTGACCTCATCTTTTTCACACAGGACTGTGTCCCAATGCTCTGCACAAGAGGAGATTGGACTCTTTGCGTTTTCTCATGTACAAGAGGTTTGTGGAGGTAAGTGACGTAGCAGACGTTCTATTTTACTTAAACACCATAAGCAGGCTACTAGTCAGTGACTTGTATTTGTTTTATCTAGCACAAATTAATAACAATAATGGTAATACCTTTGAAAGACACACATCCTTTCTTGTTTGGTGTCCGAAATAAACTCTTTTCACACTTCCTCTATCACACGAGTTTATTGTTGGTGGCTGAATTCTTTGTAATTTTGCGTAATATGTTTGTGCTTCAGACAACTTTCTTAATTGATTCCTGTTCAGAGCCAAAACAATTTGACGACTGATTGTTAAGTCATTTTTAATGTAAGAAATACCAAACATTTGATGGTTCCTCGTTCTTAGCTGTGAGAATTTGTCTTTTGTTCCTATTCGATTAAAGTAAAATAGAATAAATTGAATCTTTCTAGGTTTTAGACTGTTGGTTGGACAAAATAAGACATTGGATGATGTCACCTTGGACTGAGTGATAAGCAATTTTCATTGTTTTCTGATTATAGACCAAATGATGAATCAATCAATTGTGAAAATACTTGGAAGATTAATCCATAATGAAAATAATTGTTGCAGCCCTATTTCTGTTTACCTATGTAAAGCCTCATGCTTTAAACTTGTTAGAATTTGTTTCTGAGTTCCTTAGTTTCAAAGACCAGATTGAGAGTGTAGTTCAGTTCTGCTTCCTTCGGTTAAAAAAACAACAACAAATTAATATGTTTTTTCATACTACACCTATATGGCTTTGTAATGTATGAGCTAGCCTTTGTAGGTGAAAGTTGAGTGAGGACTTGGCCACTTGTGAATGAGCATGATATGCATATGAGAAGAAAGAAAAGACTTTCTCAGAAAAATGTTTAAAGGAGTAGTTCGGATTTTTTCTTTTTTTTTTCTTTTTTTTTCAGACAAACCTAGCTGGCTTACATACACTGCTATAAAAAATGTATAGCCCATGGGTTTTTGCTCACGTTGTTTAACCACAAAAATATTTCTTAAGATTAAATTATCTGTGCTTCTGTTCAGTGATATACGCAGTGTTTTAACACTAAAGCAATGCTGGAGTTATTTATTTTATTAGGTTAAATCGGTTTTATCAAGTAAAAAAATAAGGGAAGCACAAGTTGTCATCCATACATTCATTGTGTCTTCGGGGCTTAATAGTACCTTCAAAATGTTTATTCAAAATGTCATGCTTTTGTGCAGATCTCATATTCCCGTTTTAGTTACACATATGTCAACTTTAATCACTGTCAAAATTGTATTAATTCCGCCTTTTTAGCCAATAAAAGCCGGTAACAGATCTCAGAGGAATTTTAGGGTGAAGGATAGATTTAGTTTCTGAAAACATGAGCAGTTGGAGGCATTTAAGGTTCTCTAAAAAAGGACTTTTTGGCTCAGGTCTGTGAGTTTCAGAGAAAAAACTAAAGGGTATGATTAAGTATTAACTCAACTGACTTTATTGGTAAATGCATATTGCCGGAACTTTCACAAAAGCAATCTTACTGTTACTGTCAAACACTGATGAAACATTGATGGCAGTGGATGAACATGTGGAGCAAGGACTATTGGGAATGGACACTAATAATTTTACAAATTTACCCATGTTAACAGAACTGCTGGGAACAGTGAAAATAATAGGCACAGGAACAGGCAATATTGCAGTCAGATTACCCAGTTACAGAATCAATGAATAATACTCTTGTCTGTATTTCACCCTCTATTTTCTTTTAGAAAAGCATGACAGAGGAGAACTGGAGTGACCATGTACAGGTAAGTGTTGCTTGTAGGTGTGCGTGCATTTGACAGTGTGTAGAGATACACTGTACGTTATATAGTGTATATTAGTACTAATAGGATAAGGCAGCATGTGTGATTTTTTTTTTTTGTACATTATGTATGCGTAGTACGTATTGGCAGATGACCTTGAGCTGCAGATCCAGTTGGTGGAGATGTTGGTCAAGTACTGTGGTCTTCAGAAAGCGTCTCAGTGGTCATTGAGATACAGCATCCCCAGAAATCGACTTCCCTATGGTGTATGGGAAACGCAGCAGAGTCTACCGCCTGATCTACAGTGAGTGACGGAATGTGCATAAAAACACATACGATTACGCAATTTCTGGTATGCTGAGGAGAGAAATAGCTACAGCCTCAGACTTGTTGTCCCTGAAGTGCGACCTGGAGCCTCAGTTCTGTTCACCACATCCCCTTCTCATGTATCGCATGTCACTCTGTTGTCACTTTATTAGCCACAGCTGCTTAATGCTGTCTTATTGACACTCCTTTTTGAACTGAATTGTCTGTTATTCAGTCAGCTATTATGATTGGCTTGTGTGGGCTAAATATTAATGTGGGTTGAAGCTGTTACAGAGTGTGAAATAAAATGACTTTGAATTCATTTTTTTTGTTAGAAATTAAAGATGCTAGAGATATGATGATTGTTGATCAGTTTCTATCCCTCTGATGTTCTCTATCATCTCACAATCTGTATTAGCTGACTTTGTGTTTTTCCTTTTTTTTCTCTCCCCTCGCTATTGTCTCCTTTTAATGTGCACACATTTCTCACCTCTGCTCAGACAGATACATTTGAGTGACTCAGCACAAACTGAGGAGTGGATGCCGTCTCAGTCTCACTGTCAGAAATACTACCAGGTGCCACTCACCAAAGACAAGGTTCATTTTGTGGACACGCCGGAAGCTCTCCAGAGATGTCGAAACATTGTTCTAAAGGTACAGAGATGTAGATGCTTGATTTAAAAAAAAAGGTTTTATCACTCTAAATCAACCATTAATGAGAATCTCTCTCTCTATATATAATAAGTAGTTGAATGGGGTTACTATATAAAGCATTTATGGTGAATAATTTTTTGTTTTGCTGTGTTATCCACCCCTCTCTTTACCCTTTCCTAGGAAGGTGGTATAGTAGGAGTTGACATGGAGTGGCAGCCCACATTTGGCTGTATCTCAACCCAGCAAGTTGCCCTGATACAGCTTGCAGTTTTTGACCAGGTTTTCTTGTTAGACCTCTGTGCCAACGGATTCTGTCAACACCCAGACACTATTAGTTTCATCAGAAGCTTCTTCTCTGGGAGAAATGTTCTTAAACTGGGTAAGCAACAGACTTGAAAAAGATGAAATCAAATTCATCTGAGGCATTTCTGTTTGTACTTCCATTTCCAACATTTCTCCTGTCTTTACATTCAGGCTATGGTATGTCAGGCGATCTCAAGTGTCTCTTGGCCACCTGGCAACAGTTTTTAGAGGAGCCATTGAAGATGGAGGGGGTGCTTGATCTTCTTAATATACACCAGAAGGTAACATTATTCTGTCATTCCCATAACTTCGTATGAATCCCTTCTGAGTTAAATCCTACAGTTATAGTGCACTAGGAAATGCACAATTAGAGCGCCATGCTTCCTTAATTAGTAGGGGTATTTATATATAGGCTATATATATTATATTATATTATATTATACCCTATTCAACCAGGGTTACAGGACCAGAGGATTGCAACATGTAGGCTATCACTGTAGTCAGTGCTGCTCTTGTCTGTGTTTGGTTTCACTGTCATAACTCAGGTACATACTGCAGCTGTGGCCCAGTAGTTTCTCTGAAATATACTGTATGTAACTGAACTCATAGTCTCTGAGGTGGATAGGAATGTGGGAATGGCAACATGGGTCTGTAACTGATGAGGTCGCTTCACCATCTGGTGGAGTAGGCTGCATGTTGCAGGATGTAAGGAACCCAAGACATATTTTTGAAGATCACAAGGAATGTCTGGTTGAAAGAGGTTATGGCAGGACATTAGATGGGAGGGACTGTTTAAAAGTTTAAAAATGTCTTGCCTAGAGTCTTGCATTGTCACAAATTCTAGACATTTTAAAGTTAATAAAGTTTTCGTAATTACAATCAAGTAATTGGGGTTTTAGTGGAGAAATATTAAATACTCGACCATACCATTTGTCCATCATGCCTTTTACAGATCCAGCGTGGTAAGGTCAAGAGGATTCAAAATGGACCTAAGGAGGTGCTGGTAGGAGAGGATTCTGCAGAGAAAGGCCTCAGTCTGCTGGTACAACAAGTCCTGGGAAGGCCCCTGGACAAGACAGAGCAGATGTCCAACTGGGAGAAACGGCCACTGCGCATCAGCCAAATTAGATATGCAGGTAAGGTATTGTGCATGCACAGACAGACAATGACAGGGAGACAGATGGCCGCTGTTCTCCTCGCTATAGAATATCAAAGATTATTTTGTTATCCCCTGCTGAACTGCAAACCAATATATTCACACCCTCTTCCTGAATCTCTCTCTCCTCTCTCTTGTTTCTTAATCCTCCTTCTAGTGGCAGATGCCTATTGTTTGCTGGATGTGTACTCCGTCCTCTCCAGCAACCCAGCATACTTTGGGCTACCTGCTGACCTGTGCAGCATCTCTTCATGCCAATCAGGGAAGAGTGGAGAAAAGAAGCAGAAGGAGAAACGGGCCCATGGCAAAGAGGTCAGGAGTCAGGTCACAAATTTTCTAGGTGGTCAACTCACGGAATATAAAGAAAAATGTACTCTTCCTTTCTGGTTTTATTTGACAGATGTCAGACAGACACATGTTTTTTTAGATACAGATGAATCGTGGGGAAATTTTGTCTCTCAGACCTCCTTCATAAACTGTTATTTCACTTCCTTAAAAACATTTCTATACACTTTCCCAGGGCTTTGTTATGAATAAACAAGGACCTTGAGGAGAAGATTTTTCCTTTCATTGGTTCAATTTTAATCCTTTTCTGCTCATGACTTTAGAACATTCAGTCAGCAGAATGGCAGGATGAAATCTGATGTGTGTTTAACTTCACAGACTGCCATCATGAATTAGGACCGACCCATTTTCTATTTTTAATAACTATTGTGCTAATACATTTAACAGTTCTTAGTTCTGTCATAGCCAGTGAGCTTTCAAGAGAACCTCCAACTGAAGAACCTGGGTTTGAGCATCCAACCTGCAGGGAGGGACAATGCGTGTTTGACCAAGGCACTTCAGCAGTTCCTATCAGCTCCAGGGGTGCAGTTGTATAGCTCACACTGTGCTTTGACCTCCCTGCACTATGGTGCAAGTGAAAAGAAAATCCCCCTGTGGGGATCAGTTAAGTATCACATTATTGTCTCTGTCCATTTAGGAATGTCAGGGGGCTCAAAGGGTCAGTCCCCCTTGCTCTGACACAGAGAAAGGCCTCCTGTGTGGCGAGAAGCCTTCAGAAGACACCCCCCCTCTGCCCCCCCAGCAGTTACGGGTAGTGTGTGACAACATGCTGCAGGGACTCGGGAGGTACCTGCGCTGTTTAGGAGTCGATGTGGTCATGTTGGAGAACACTGATGATCACAGAGTGGCAGGAAAGGTTAGTTAGGGACATACACGTGGCTTTTTATACAGACAGTAAACACAAGAGGAACCTATAGCCAAAATACTACATGTTATTGATAACCAATAATAGCGTTACTGCATTCCTGTGTGCTTTTGTCCTGATGTGTTTTTGTTCTGTGTCAGTTAGCACAAGCTGAAGGCCGTGTCATACTCACCTGTGGGCAACCGTTCCAAACTGTAAGTACTAACTAATGTAAACTCATGAACATATCATAAAATATAAAGTCACAATGCATTTTTGTGTGTGTGTGTGTGTGTGTGTGTGACATGTTGTCTTTCCCATCTCGTCCCATATAGTTACGGTCCCAGGTAGGTGAGGGTCGCTGTCTGTCCCTCGACTGTTCGGAAAAGGCCAGAGACCAGGCTGTTCGAGTCCTCAGACACTTCAATGTCCAGCCCACTCCCAGTGATATATTCAGCCGCTGCCAGGTAAGAACATTCATGCTGGTTTAAACTGTGTATAAACTGAGTTATTTGGCGTTCTACTTTATAATACAATTATAAATATGTAAAATAATGTCAGTGATTATTAATACATACAAATAGTCAGTACAGCGAGCACAGAGAGTCATACACTGTATAAGTTGAAGTAGAATAGAATAGGAAGGAAGAGGATGATAGACAGCTGGAGTGAAAGAGGCAAATGCTGATTGAAGGAAAATTACATACAATTAAAAATAACCATATTTCCAACTTTTTACGTGCCATGGACTACATTTCTAAATTAGCTGATGCTTTTATACACAACAACTTCCAATGAGAAAGAGGGAAAAAAAGAGAGTTCCTCTATTAGTCAGAAGTACAAGCAATGTGAATACCCAGGCAATATTTCTGTGGTTATAAAACACTGCAGAACTGGTTAGGTTCCTGAATTAATGAGAACAAAGCCTGTGGTGGCTGTGGTGTTTTATGTAATTCTGAGAAAAAGGGGAAGAAATAAATATATGATAAGAGGGAATGGAGAAGAAAGGCTTTAAAAGTAAAACTTTATTTTACTATTGTGAGAAAATGTAAGTTGTCAGTGTGGGGTCAAAGGTGGGGGCCTTGACATGCAACACTTCTGGCTATAAAAACAGGCCCTTTGGACATGGAATGTCACTTCTCTGTTGGGGAAGGAGTTGAAGCTAGTGCAAGAGGTGAAGGTACACAAACTTGATATAGTTTGGCTCACCTCTACATGCAGCATTCACTCTGGAACTAAGCTATTGGTTCTCCTTTTCCAGTGTTGCCCAAGGGTAGAGAATGGTGGAGTTTTTACCTCAGAGCAAGGTTGTTCATGAGTGAGATTAAGATGGAGTGAGAGTTTGTCAAGATGATTGGTATGGCATTGGCAGTAATCTGGGTGTTGTACTTGAGTGAGGTTTCAGACACAAGCAGCCACAATTGGCTCACTTTTACTGAAAAGATGAGGAACTCTGACATTCGAAAGGAGCTTGAAGTTGAAATGCCACACCTTCACGATGAGGGTGGCTAGTTATGACTGTTAAAAGGTATTATTAGCATCTTCCCTGGTTGTCTCCCTGTGGAAATGTTCTTAACATGTAAAATGGTAAAAAGACTGTACTTGTATAGCGCCTTTCTAGTCTTCCCGACCACTCAAAGTGCCACATTCATACAGTGATGCACAGGATCTGGAACACTTTGGGGTTCAGTGTCTTGCTCAAGGTCACATCAACCTGCAGTAGGAGGAGCCGGGGGTCAAACCGCCAACCTTCTGAATAGTGGACAACCAGTGAGGCTGATAAAGGAGACACTGAAAGGGATTACATATCCCCTATAGCCTTGGAATACCTTGGGGACCCCAGGAGGAGCTGGAGGATGTGGCCGAGGAGAAGGATGTCTGAGATGCAACTACTGCCTTGTACAGGTGCTGGAAAATGGAGGGATGGATGGACTGAAGGGGAAATCATTCCGCAGGAAGAATTCAACATTAGGCGGAATGAGTTGGAAGGCAATTTAACCACTAGGAACCAGGAGAAGGAGCTGAACCTGGATGAGAAATGAAACTAAATATGTTTCAGTTCTTATGTTCTTAAAAAACGTTTCAGTATCATATTCTTCTTTACCTCAGTTTCAGAAATATTACTTACTTGCAATGTTTGAAACATGTTTGTGGACCCTGGAAAAGATGTCTGTTAGTTTAACCGATCATTGTCGGATTTACGGTACCTGACCTGTAGATATCTCCATGGGTGGCTGTTTAGGGAAACCTGTCTGTGTGCTACAATGTTTGTCTTTGTGTGAGAGGGGTATCTTTGCTGAGCAAGTTTCTAAACTTGGGTGTTCTGGCCTGTTCCTGGTAGGGGGCCCTAAATGTGTCGAGATACACTACTGGGTGCATTTGTCCCAGGCCCCAAGATGTTAGAAAAACCTGGACCACCTTGATGTTACCTCCTGTCTTGATGATATGATGAAGACACAAACACACACACCAAAACAAATCTGCCTGAACGACCAGTGGCCAAATGGTACCTACCTTTCCGATTTATCTCTCACCTTTGTTCCAGCATGTGGGTAATTTTTACAACCTCAGCCAGGGAATAACTGTCTCTCCCTTAACCTAATTTAAACCTGTTTTTAAAAGAATGAATGGGAATTACAGCACATTACACATTTAGAAGATTATTATCTGAAAGTGTAATTTCTTAAGTTAAGGACTAACAATAAATGGGAGTATTCCAGCACCTTAAGGATGCAGGTTATAAAATACAATAAGTGGTTGATATTAAAATGTAGTTGATTACTGTTTAAATACTTAAATATTTTACTGAAATTAATTAATTCCGAATTAAGGTGAGCATGATTTTGTGTGTGTGAGTGAGTTAGAGAGAGTTTCACCCTGGGGGTTTCTCCGTGGCCCACCCAGGCGAAGTTAACCCCTTTGTTATCTGATTGTAAAGCTCTCTGATTATCAGTGGATGGGTTAGTTTCTCTCCCTTTGTCTCTCTGTGTTTCTCCCTCATACACATACACCACTGATGGATGTCATGAGGAAAGAGAAGTTAAAAAAAAATAAATACATGTGTCGAATGTGCAGGGAAAGGGTTAATGTTTGTCTCTGTGTATCAATAGGCCCAACACAGATTTTAGAGGCATAGGAATGTGTGTCCACCATGGAGACCCCAAGAGGGAAAGGGAGATGTAGAAGGGCCTGTGTGTGTGTGTGTGTGTGTGTGTGTGTGTGTGTGTGTGTGTGTGTGTGTGTGTGTGTGTGTGTGTGTGTGTGTGTGTGTGGGTGTGGGTGTGTGTGTGTGTGTGTGTGTGTGTGTGTGTGTGGGTGGGTGGTGGGTGTGTGGGTGTGGGTGTGTGTGTGGGTGTGTGTGCGCTTGTCTACATACCCATTAGTAACGAACGCAGCAATGTACAATGAGGAAGTGGTAAAAAGGGAAAAAACATGTTTTTTATTTTTTTTTATTATTCAAAATCTCTATTTGTGGGGTTTAATGGATTTATCTACAAAAGGTTTATCATCAGTGTGGCTCTGAGAGAAAACCGACAACATAAAATTGAGTGTTGTGTTCTTTTATACAAATAATAGGAAAGAAATGTTTATTTTTGTATTCACACGTAAAGATGTCAAACCAGGTTAATTTTGAAGTAATTTCTGTATGTCGGAAGATATTTAATAATTGTTTAGAAAGCCTTTAAAATATTGAGTAAATATATTTTTATTTTCATCCATAGTCTGTAGGCCAACCACATATCCAAATGCACCTATTTCTGGTTTGTAGTCGTGTTTCAACGTTTAAAAATGTTCAGTTGTTTATGTGATAGAACATGAATCTGTTTGGTTTCTCCTAAACAGGTCTCCTAACACGGTAAAACCATTCTTGTTTAAATAAAACAGTGTGACATTACTTATTAAGGATCATTTTTTCAGATTTGTCCCCTCTGGAACAAATTAAAACTATGGGATGTGAGCATACAATGGATATGTTTAAATATTAATCTTATTGGAACATGTATAACACATTTATTTTGAAATAATTAAAAGAAATAATTGTTTTTTTCACAATATATCAATTTGTAAAACAAAATGTATCTTTAGCTGCAAAATGCCACAAAAATATATTAAGAATGTTGATAAATTTTACGGTGTCAAGAGGTTGACACGTAGTCCTTAAATTTCATCTGTGTGGATTCCTGCAAGGGGTTGGGTAAGAGGGTGGAGTTGGCGATGGGTCCCTTAGAGTTTCCTTATTCAGCTATATCCTATCCCTACCACTAATGCCTGCTGCGTCTATACTTTCCATATACACACACACACACACACACACACACGCACACGCTCACACACAAGCTCACACACACTTCCGTTGAGTTGTGCAGTTTCATCAGATGTCCCATACTGGCCTTTTATAGACATGTTGAGATAACAGAGATATCTTGAGAGATAGACATGAAACCAACCACACACATACACTCACACATAGACAGTGATACACATACATGCCTAAAATCCCTAAGTGACAAACACATATTGACACCATCATACAAACACACAGTCACCTCAGCACCTTTACATGCAGCCGTTAAGAGCACTCAGACTTGGTCACAGATGCACTCAGACGCAGTCATGGACACTGTTGCAGTAGAAACGCTGGTTCCCACGCACCAGACTACTGGGGAAGTGAAAACAAGAGCAACAGGAACCGCCACACCATGAGAGGGAGGGGTGGGGGGGGGGGGTTAGAGAGAGGAAAAGGAGAGGGAGGGAGAGAAGTGAGAAAAGAGGTGATGGCAGAGCGGTAAAAAGACAGAGAGAGAGAGAGAGAGAGAGAGAAAGGCGAGAGAGGCAATGGCAGTGAAAGCAAATGAGAAGGCGCATGTTGGTCCAAGATAGGGAGAAAGACAAATATAACGTGGAGCAGTTGAGACTGCATTTCAGAGATTGTGTTCGAAATAATCAGTTGGCGCGCAAGTGACATGAGTGTTTGTTGAGCGAGGAATAGCGAGAGGAAGAGAGAGTGTCTGAGAAAGGTGGCACTGAAGGAAGAGGAGGGGTGGAGGAGGGCGAGGCGATAGAAAGACTTGTCTGTCCTTTGATCTACAAAGAGAGCCGCGGGCTTAGAAACAGGAGGAATGTGAGAGGTTGAGACACGTTTAAAGTTACCCTCACAGGCTCTTAGTATATGTTTGTGCATATGTGAGTGAATGAAGGCTAGTCAGTATCAGGGTGTACACGTGTTAAAATCCAGAAGAAAACAGAAGAAACTTTTATAGACTTGTTTGTTCTCACACCTTAATTTATATTTGTTATGTTTTAAATGCACACAGGGTTGGAGATAGATAGCCACAAATATGCACAGTTTCAGTGTTGCACGCAAGCTCTGCAACCGGAACGCACATTCTCACCTTTTTACAAACTTGTTCAAATTGCGTGTGTTTGTTTGATCCCTGTGGTTTCTTCTGTATTTGTGGTGCCATCT